ACCTTTTGTCCACACACTGGCATTCATGTAACTCATATAGAAGTTGTTGTGTAAGCTTCACACAAACACTAGGCGTCAAAGAGGAAGTCGTAGAATTTTTTGGTTTTCAAAGGTTATATCGTTTCTCAAAATCAATGCAACCTCCTGCCGGGCCCTGATAAAGGGTGAAGTATTAGGTTGAACCGAAAGTTCTGTCGCACCATTTTCAAAAAATCATAACTTCTTTCGGTCACGACGATTTTGCCCAATTCAAATCTTATCTGAAAGCGTAAAGAATGAAGTTTCCAAAAGCTCCTTGGGAAGTTTCCGACATGCTCATATGGCAGAGATAAAAATGAAAGAACGAGATCATCCGAAATTCAGAATTTTTAAGCAATAATTCTAAAAATTCAGAAACTGTGCGATAAAATCCAGAAAAGCCATTATCCTAATTTTTCTTACATTTGATTACTAACTGAGTTAAGTTTGTGCTGATCGAGGTATTCTTTCAGAAATTATGAAATTTTGAAAAAAATGCAAAAAATCCATTTCTTAAGAATTCTTAGAAAATTGATTTTTCAGCATTATTTTTCAAAAAATCATAACTTTTGAAAGAACAGCTCAATCAGCACAAGCTTGACTCAGATAGTAACTATATGTAGGAAAATTTAGGATAATGGCTTTTTTGGAGTTTATCGCACAGTTTCTGAATTTTTAGAATGCTTGCTTGAAAATTCCGAATTTCGGATGATCTCGTTCTTTCATTTTTATCTCTGCCATCTGAACATGTCGGAAACTTTCCAGGATGCTTTTGGAAACTACATGCTTTACGCTTTCAGATAAAATTTTAATTGCGCAAAATCGTCGTGACCGAAAGAAGTTATGATTTTTTGAAAATGGTGCGACACAGAACTTTCGGTTTAACCTAATACATAGCGCCTCACACCACGGTTTAGAAACACTTTTGCAAAAGCGTGCTATTTTCAAGTAGAGCCGCTAGGCATAGGGGCAAACTAATCCGATAAGTAAAACATTCAGAATTTGTGCGGCAGATGAGCCGCGTTGTCCTTGGCATTATAGCAGCTTGTGAAGTTTCAACAAAGTTTTGGATTTGCAGTTTCGAACCTTTAGCAAGGTCATGAGTTTGTCTGGAAAGAGATCTGCAAGGTTTATAATCAGCTTAGAAAGTGATCCAAAGTTTGTTCTGCAAAAATGGCTGCAAAGAGAATAAATGAATAGTTTTTCGCTTTTTTCGAATATTGATTGAGCACTTTCTGTCGCTTACTATCCTGTAGACCATGCTGTTTGAACTTTCTTTCTTTAACCATACTTTCTTCTGTGGTTAGTTTTTCACTTTGTTTTTGGTCGAAATGTGATGGATCGAGTAAGATTCAACGACAGAAGGCGGAATAGCCATTAAATGCGCACTTCTCTCCATCAAGCATCGTATGTTTCTTAATGCAGAGATTTTAACATTTTTCATTGCAATAAAGCTTCGTTTTAGACGAGGCATACACTCTTGTCGTTTTGAGAGTCCACAAGTCGTAGAAGCAGACTAACAAGGAAAGTCCGCTTGGTCAAAGTGGCTATTCGGAAAACGTTGTATACCCGCCTATAAAGCTTAAAATGCCAATTTTAGATACACCTTTTATACCAAGCATTCTTGAATGTTAAGAGGTGGTTTCCCAATGCCAAATCGTGCATTTTGAGTCGCAAAATCACGATAATTTCTACACAAAAAGTATGCAAGCTTAAACTAATATCTTTAAGCACTGTAAGCCTACTATGGTACCATCTGAACGCATTCGAGCGTTGTCCGACCATGTTGCTATCCACAGAGCCTCATTTTCTTTCTAGGCCACCATTCCATTATATAAACAAAAAAGCCCATAACTTTCTGTTGGAAAATTTGAAATGAGCATTTCAAGCTCTATCCGTTCGTATACCTCACCTTCCGAGTCGCCACTTCGAACCACGCGGACCTCCCTTTTAAGAGGAAAGAGAGTACCACACGGATCTCTTTTGGATGGCAACAGCAACCTACTCAATTCTCAACTCCTGCGCCGTAGCCAATGATCTGTGACTGTCAGCTACAATTGATTTTTTGCGTATCATAAGTTCATGGGATTTTGCACTGATTTTTTTTTACGAAAAGATGACAAAATATTGTTTTGATTTCCTGTGTCTGCCGAAGGAGAAGTAAATGAGGCTGAGGGGCTACAAATGTGTGAAAGTTCTTCAGTTTATCGCGAAGAAGCAGCAAAAGCAAGCAGTAAGGACATGAACCATATATCGGGTTTTCTTGCTATTAATCAACCGGTAACTGCTAAGGCGTAAGGCCGTCACCTTACTGAGAGCATGGACACTCACAGATAAGCTGGCGGTTCATTCTGGTCCCATATTGGCTTAGTTGGCAGTTTGCGGCATGGGAGATTGGTCGGTTAAGCCCCTTTCCGATGCAGTTGTTTGAGTTGCAGACATAATGTAGGCGGTCCACAATACATGCAAACCAAAGGACAAACTGCCATATTTGGCTTTGTAATGCATTTCTGCCTCAGCTTACTGCACACAAGTTAATTCTAGGCACACCGTGGTTGGTTGCTTTACGGAGATGATAATGTGAAAACTCTTATGTTCAAACAGTCTATCCACGTTTTTCACAAATCTTTGAAGTCTTGCAGGGATCCAAAAGACTTTCATTGTCAACCTTGAAGGCACCGTCTATTCAAAACGGGGTCGATGAGATTTTGATGCATGGCAGTAAGGACTCCCAGCTGTATACTTGCCCTGCTAAAAGTTGCATCCTAAGCGAGAAAATTGCTACGAAGCAAAACTGAGATATTCTTAATTGCCTCTAATTCTCAATCTTTCTCGTTTTAGTTAGCGGAAAAGGTACTCCAGTAATGTGCAAAGTTTTCTCTTTCAAATAAAAAGAGTTGCAGTTATTTTTTCGTGACCCAACTCGAAAAATGCCAATTTCTGATTTCCTTCAATTATTTCCAACTCTCGAATGTGCACAAATTAATTCATGGCAGAAACACTGCTGTAAAAAGCACGGATTCCTCTTTCAAATAAAAATGATTATGGAGAAATCTACCAAGTGGTAAGGAATTTATGATTTTTGGAAAATATCGCAAGAACTTTTGGACCAACCGAATATATTAGGTTGGCCCGATAGTTCGCCGTTTCAATTTTGAGTCGCAACTTTGCGCTCTCCCAATGGATTTGCTTCACTGTATTTGTATTAGAAAGTGGAAGTCTATATCTTTCGAACGCTGTTTTGATGAACTTCTGCTACGTACTGCAGAGATAAAAATTTTAGAAAACATAAACTTTGCTCATTTTAACTTAGGTCGCCAAAAATCGGGAACGCTGCAGAAAAATTTAAATCGTCAGTACATATGTTTTTTGGCCAGCTTAGGGGAACGGGTTTGCAACTGTGAAAAGATTATGCTATTTGGACGTCTCTGTGAGAAGTTATGATTTTGGAGAAAAGTGTCAAATCAATCAATTCTGGGGTTTTCTGCAGTAAACTGGTATTTTGTAAATCCGTGGATCTCATGCTCTTTGCATCTGTTCCTAAATTGTTCGTTAATGTGTACAAAGGAAGGAGATAGAAGCTCAAAACCAAAATCACTCAAAATTTGAATTTTTCGTGTAGGGTCATAAAAAATCGGAAAATGCAACAAAAATCGGAGCAGTTGGTGTTGTAGGTTAATTCACCAGCTCTTTCTAACAGTGCAAAGTTTGCGTCGATTGAGCGTCTCTATGAAAAGCTATGATTTTCGAGCAAGCAATACAAAAGGGCGAATTTGATTTATTTTGGCATTTTTCAGAGAAATTATAACTTTTCATAGAGACGCTCAATCGGCGCAAATTTTGCACTGTTAGAAAGAGGTGGTGAAAAAAACCTAAAAACCGACTGCTCCAATTTTTGTTGCAAGTTTCCGATTTTTTATGACCTTACATGAAAAATTTAAATTTTGAATGATTTTGGTTTTGAGCTCCTATCTCTTTCCTTTGTATACATTTACGAACAATTCAGGAACAGATGCAAACAGCATGACATCCTCTCAAACAAAATTTAGATTTTGTAAATTCATTGAGGATTCAACAAGTTATAATTTTTGAATTTGGTGCGAAAGAACTATCGGGAGGACCTAATATAAAAAGGATACAAGGTTACCAAAGTTCTGACGCACCATTTTCAAAAAAATCGTAACCTCCTTCTGTCGCGATAGTCTTGCGCACAAGAAAACCACTAGAAAGGGTAGCTAATGCACTTTCTAGTGACATATTGCCAGCTCTCTTTTACGATCTGGTGCAGCATAAAAATCGGAAAAGCAAATCACTTGAGAATCCGGACTTTGAAGGAAGCCCGCTGAAAATTCAGAAACATCGTAACAAAATTCAAAACTTACACTGCTATAGGTTTTCTGACGCTTTTTCTATGTGAGCAAAATTTCCGCTGTTCGAGCTGTTTTCTGAAAAGTTATGATTTTTGAGAAAAAATGAAGAAAAATCATTTTCTTAAGAAAATTGATTTTTTGACATTTTTTTGAAAATCACAACTATTCAAAGAAATCACAGCTTAAAATAAGATAAAATAACATAACTCATCATAATAAAATTAAATTATAAAAAAGTAAATGTTGGGCCCTCACTTGCCGTAACATTACACAGTAAGGAATGATTATTCATTAGGAAAACAAAGAGTATTAGGGAATCAGGTTTATTGCGGTAAAAAGGGTGAATCGAATTGATGAGCAGCAGTGGTCGACTGTCGGGTGGTGAGCGTACCGCTCCAGATGGTGACGTCCTCTCTCCTTAGTTCCTATTTATCCCTCTTTTATATCGGTCGGCGTCCGTTATCAGATCGTTCTCACAATCAGCTATGCTGATTGAAGCATTCTGTCAACATCACATTCTGCACATTCCAGCGTGGGAGACAGATCCCTCTTACACCTCCCCATTTTACACAAAAGTCCCAAAGGGACTTTTAGGAGACTTCGCAGCTTGATCGTTTCTAAAGAGAAAAAAGTCAGAACAAAAATGTCTGTTATCTGTTTGGACGCAATGTTGTGCGGTTGTATAGCGATTGGCGTGGAGGTTGAAAACGTCCCTTCTTCGGGTGTCCCTGTCAGACAATACGGAAAGTCTACCATGTCGTCGTTGTCACGATGATGTCCTGAAATGCTTGCGACAGATACGAGATACGTGAAAGATATGCGGCCACTACGTCAGAAGAATTTTTCAAGCAGTCAATGGTAATATTGCTCTGTAACTCTAAGGTTCGTGTTTAAGTAGATAAGTTGGAGGTTCATGGCTCGAAGGAATGTGCGTAAGGCTGCCACATATTATTGATTTCAACAAACGTACAGCGCTGATCATGGCGAAGGATTCAAAGGTTTGTGGGGACTCTATCTGCGTTTGAGTTTCTGAAAGTGTCTTGCTGAAGTAACCTATGACTGCTATGTTCGTTTCGTCTGTTTGGTTCCTGCATTAAGACTGCTCCCACTGCTGTTTGACTACCGTCTGTATGCAGGATAAAGTCCTTGTCTTGAGGAAAAGCTAGGAAGGGCTTAGAGGACAGGCTAGTTTTGAGGCTTTCAAATGCTTCCTGGTGTGTTGGTGTCCACAGAAAGAAGGATCCTTCTTTAGTTAGGTCGTTCAGTGGGGCCGCAGTTCTCGCGAATTGTGGTATGAACTTCCTGAAGAAATTGGCCATACTCAGAAACCTTTTTACTTCTTTGGCGCATTTCGGTACCGGGCAGTCAAGTATAGCCTTGACGTTCCTAGTTCCTGGACTGTATGAACTTTGCGTGATCTCGCGTCCTAGGAAAGTGATGGATGGACGTGCTATCTCTGTAAACTAAACTTCTTTGCAGATATTTTGATGTCGAAAATTCGAAAACGCTCGAAAACTTTTCTCAAGGACACTAAATGACTCGGAAAATCCTTGTCAAAAATGACGACGTCATCGATATACGCCACACAGTTCCATCGCTAGACAGAAGTAAGCAACCGTGTTACGCAACCCGAAAGGGAGGTAAACGAACTGGTATATCCCTCTGTGTATTGCCAGCCGCACTTATACTGGCTGGACAAAAGGAGCTGCATATATCCGGATGCTAAATCGAGCGTGGTATAGTATTTGTTTCCTGCAATTTTCGCTAGTAAATCTTCGATACGCGGCAATGGATTCGTCCAGTTTGGAGTAGCTTACTAATGTGGAAATCCAATTCCTTTTGAAATTTGACTGGTAAACGTGTTGGGCGAAATTGATGGATGGAACTTCCGTCGTGGTGCGGATGCGAATCTTTGAGGCGTGATAGGATTTTAGAGGAAAACGAGAACCTGTCGCTATCTTCATGGAAAAGATCGAGCAGTGTCTGTTTTTCCGCATCTTCGGCGGCGACCCCGGAAAGGTCGACTTGTAATCGTGGTATTTCTCCTTTTGCGTGTTCCGTAGAGGACGTAACTTGCGTATTGCTCCTTTCGGTGGCGGAATTGCACCATAGTGTGGGTGTTGTCCCACTGCCTTCTGTGACTTCGACTGCGGACGCTACCGCCTGATTTTTATGTATGACGTGCGGGTTGTTAGTAGGATTGGTGACGGGCACCCGGCAAGTGGGTGCCGAAACTACCGCGGGAGATATCCAGTAGGGCGTTGTTCATTATGGTAGGTTCTGGGTGACGAGCATGTAGGAGGATGCCATACCCGAGATGACGCAGGGTACAAAAGTTTCAGATGCAGGGTGTATTACCGTTGTTGCTGCTGCGCGGACAATCGCCTTTCGCTTGCCTTGATTGTCTAAGCCTCGAGATGTGAAAATGCTTAACACAAAGTTGCCGCAATGGAAAGTATGTTCTTGGAAGTCGATGTACCATCGTGGTAAGGTACTGAGCAAATCGTTACCGAGAATTATGTTGTAGGCTCCAGCTAACTTTGAAACAGCTATAAAATACGTTGGATGGGTTGTGACAAAAGAGCCAATTTTGAATTCGAGTCTTTGGCTTCCCAATACTTTGACTGGGACGCCCGTGGATGTTATTGACAATGACTGGGATTTGTGTTACAAAGAAGTCTTCTTCTACGTCACCTGCGCTCAAAACTCTGACTAATGTCAGCGTTGCTCGTGGCGGCCATGCTTGTGTAGCGTCGATTTCTACGCAAGCTAGATCTAGAGGAGGTTGGGTGTGAGACTGAGGGGTGGACCAATTATGTGTAAGTGGAGCAGGGCTAAGAGTGGATACTGTCGCAGGTGATGCAGCCTGCTCTTGAGCTACCTGTATGGCACGTGACACACGAATGAATGCAGGAAAATTGAGCCGGAGATATAGTGCCAATATTCGTTTGAACATTGCGAGAGAAACCAGTATACAACATCCGGTGACCCATAGGTTAAAGAGGCTAATGCTCGGAAAAAGAAAATTGGCTACAGAGCTTGTGTTAGTATCTGCTGCGCCAACGTTGGAATAGTCTGCGAGTGGGTCCACGAGCCCAAATGTGAATAGAGTTTTTCGTGAAAGTATGCTTGCCATATTTCGCGGATCTGGTCGTCTGTCGTTATCTCGCTCCAGTTAGTAAGTATCAAGTTATGAAAAAAGGTTAATGACGGTAACGAAGTTAATTTGGGATTACCTGTAGACCACGAGAGTGTGCCGATTTGGTCGGCGCGAAGAGGGAGATACATCCGCTGTGTGTCAAAAAGGAATCTTCCAGTGGCGTTAGTGAAGAAGAAGAATTGGACCGTAGAACATGGTACCTTGTTCGCCTCCGAAGCATTACCCTCGTAGCCGAATCAAGAAAACCAGAAAGTCGCGTGTTGGGCAACTGGAGCGACATACGGGGTATCGTAACAGGTATCGTTAAAGGAGAGCAATTCGTATTGGGACGGAGGAATACGCATGCACCGATGAACCTGTACTACCTCGTGCCCTACATATGTTGCCGAAACATCGGGGCGATCGAGGAGTTTGCGGATAGCTATTGTAGGGTTCCGGGCTAATGTAGAGTGGAAAGTCGCTGCTAGGATATTAACGCGTTGGCAAAATGTTAAAAGAGAATGTTGAAAAAGTGCCAAGGCCGATTTCTTGGCTGAGTCTTCTACCGCTAAGAGCTGGGCTGCCAACTGGTTAGATGTGACTATTCCTGCTTCCACTGCTCGTTCGTGTCGCGGTTCCCTGGTCGGTAACGGCAAGCTTGCTTCCGCAGTCCCAAAGTGTCCTTGGCTCCTCTTACCTGGATAAGGCTAGCTCTTTGGAGTCATTAATCCAGACGTGCCCCATAAGGTAGCCACTCATAGTTCCTATAGGGATATTGGCATGATTCCTCCTTATCTGGTGCCCATAAGACGACTGATCCGTCGTCGAGGGTGCACCGGCTTTCGCCATACTTACAGTGGTGCAAGTCCCCCACTGCCGACTCTGGGGCCGCAGATCCATGACGTGTATGGATCAATGTGGGTACCAAGTAGCAGTCAGTAACTGATAAAGTGTGCCGTGACCAACAGCCAAAGGGAGCGGATGGCCAGTCAGTCACGAGTTTGTTAGCTGTAACATAGATACCGTTAGAGAGTTGCAAGGACCCATATTCACAGGAATGGTGTTAAATCATGCGTTTACAATGCTCCACCGTTACAGTTTTGGTAGTTTCCGTCTGTGTTTGCCAACAAGCCCGAAAAAATTTACAGAAAAGGATGCGGTATGTACTACGATTTTACACATATGTGCTGAAGTATCGTATCTCTTGGTGTTTGGACGGTAGAGGTGCATGCTCAATGCCTATGAGTTATTGCGATAGGTTTGTATGAGTCGCGACCAAGTAAAAGAGGTTGGCACACGTACCATGCGATCATTAGGTTGCGAAGGACAGAGCCAAGCTTCTTGTGCCTGAGAGCCTACTGTGAGCGAGCAGAGGACGAGGCAACCAAAAAAACTAATGCTGGGAGAAGACCGTGGAGAAGAGGAGAAAGCGAAACGAGATAATTTTTGGTTACGTTGCAATAAAGCTTCAATTTTAGCATTAGATTGTGAAGAGCTTCCTGACTTTCTTCTAGAGAGAGAGGGAGAGAGAGAGTGAGGGCGTTGACTTTTTGCTGCGTGCTATTCAAAAAACGCCCATCCTCTTCATTACTAATCTTGCGTGAAGTAAAAGGAACAGGAGATACCGAGGATGAACTGCAAGAACGAACAGAGAAGCACGTTTAGGAAAGAACCGCTGACCTGTATTCCTGCGTTCCGCTGACGGACATTGCTTCATGTGTCCTATTCCTTTGCAGTTGTAGCAAAAACCAGAGGTTCTGTCTGTTGGAGTCTTGCCATTGTCCACTGCGGGAAGGTATTGGAGAATGAGAACAATTTTGCTTCTATCCCGATCGTGCTGATAAACGAGGATTAGTAGTAATTTCTGGATTAGCAAAAGTGACTTTACAGTAGGCTGAGATGGCTTGCATACCGGGTCCGCGAGTTCTGGTGTATGGGTTCGCTAATCGCACAGAAGACGCTTCCGAGAGTAGTTGTTCTACCGTACTCGCTTTATCTAACGCTCGCTGAAAAGCGACTGGCCCTTCCGACTGTACGTGGTAGCGGATATCTGGTCGAAGGCGTTCAACAAACTCCTCTAAGGTTCGTTCTTGTTGAATTGCTTGCCCCTGACCCGCCGTTGCCTCGCGTACTAGCGTTATTCTGTTCGCAAAAGCTACCACCGTCTCACCTACCTCCTGATGACAAGTGGAGAGGTTTTGGTGTACCATATAGCGCTGTTGAGGTGTTTAAAAAAATTGCGACAAATGGGCTATGAGCTTGTCGTAATCGCCGCAATCAGTAAGCGGTAATTCTTCGACTTTTTCGCGCGCCATACCGTCAAGGTACGTTATTGAAATGTTGGCTTTCTGTTCGGATTGAGTCCTCCCGGGCGGGTACGCATAATGTCTTAAAAGCGTCGGAGCCAAGTGCCAAATTGTAAGGTATCCCCACAACCCGTATATGCCGGTAGGTAGATGTGATGTCCCTTCGAAGTTAAACATGGCGGCCTGCGGAATAGTTCGCGTGCGAGAGTCTACGGCCTCAAAAGTATCATTTAGTCCCTTAAGTAATGCGGAGTTGTTATCGTTGAAACGTTGGACTAATTGAGCGGTGTTATGATGATAGTCGTACCAGACGTTTGTCACTACCTCGGATGTCGCATCTCTAAGTGTTTTGACCTCGCGCCCATGTACTACGTCCGTATCGCTTAAATTAGGAAGCGAAGATTGTAACGGCCCAATTATCTTCGAAGGGGTGTTTCCGTCTGTGGCTATATCCTCTACGGAATTTGTATCAACTGATGTTCTCTGGGTTTGGGTCAATACGACCCCTAAGTCAGCAGAGTGGGCCCTGGAACGAGTTACCGGAGGGGCCATGATCGATGATGAGCAAAGAGTCTGAATTCAAAACCAAACGGAGTTGGAGATGCTTTCACTCTACTAAAGTCGCGTATATATATCCCCTGTGTCGCTGATAAGACAACTATGTAAGCGATTGCGCTGTAAAATGTTTCTGAAAGGCAACATTTTTGAGCTTGGGAAAGAAAACATCTCATGCCTCAGCGACAGATATCTCGAAAAATTTCCCAGCTATCTCTCTATCTACAGACGCCATCGGTTCCTTAGAGGCAGTGTCCATGCAAAAAGTCGATTTTGAGATTTTGTGCTTACAAGGGCCTATTTGCCATGCTGAATCCGATAGACCACAATGGAGCGCGAAAACGCCAAAAAAGTCCCTAACGCAGGAGGGAAATCGCAGGTGGGCGGGGCCGTTCACACCGTGACGTCACTCTCCCCGGCTTCAGGAGCGATCTTTTCGGTTTCAATTTTATGTCATGCGTTTCTCACTTAACTGGTGGTGATGTTGGGACGAATAGCGCAAGCGAGAAGATCGCTCCTGAACCCGGGAGAGTGACGCCAATATGTGAACAGCCCCGCCCACCTGCAGTTTCCCTCCTCCTTTAGAGCCTTTTTTCGCCGTTTTCGCGCTCTCCAGTGTTGATTTTCGGATTCAGCATAGCTAATAGGCCCAGGTAAGCACAAAATCTCGAGATCGACTTTTTGCTTGGACACTGCCTTTAACATAAACATTGGGCCGCATCGTTTTATGTTGATGTTTGTCGCGCCTAGCGATCGCAAGTTAGACACTCTAAGAGCCAATTGAAAAATATCGAAAATGCATAATTCCAATGCCAGAACTAATATAGTTTATCAAAATCATCCGGACCTCACATCGGACGCTCCCAAAGTTCTTACCGGCATCTCCACAGTCATATTCAAAACACTTTATAATCTACTCTAGTTTTGCAGCTGCACTCAAAATCAGCGTCCCTCTCCAAATGTCTGATCGATCAACTCCGCCGGTCCAACGCCATTCTAGGCAAATGCACATGAAACGAAGAAAGTACTCACGCGTGATGACTCAGTACCGAACCCCTTTAAAACTTGGCCAGTTCGCAAAATCAGAAGCGTATAGCGATTTTCGCGAAAATACAATAGAGGAAATGCGCCTATTGCCGAAAAGAAAAGATAGGAAAAAATGAGAGCTACAAGCCTTCAATCTATCTTCAGGAGAGGAAAATGCTATAGCAAAATTATATCTACACTACCAAAATCCTTAATTCCTTTAGTGGTCAATCGTTGCCCATCCACGGAGCGATAACGGTAATGTTGAACACTCACCCTCTTGTCAGACTTGCTGCTCCACTCGCTGCTACCAGTAAGTGTTGGGCCCTCACTTGCCGTAACAGCACACAGTAAGGAATGATTATTTATTAGGAAAACAAACGAGTAATAGGGAATCAGGTTTATTGCGGTATAAAGGGTGAATCGGATTGATGAGCAGCAGTGGTCGACTGTCGGATGGTGAGAGCACCGCTCCAGATGGTGGCGTCCTCTCTCCTTAGTTCCTATTTATCCCTCTTTTATATCGGTCGGCGTCCGTTATCAGATCGTTCTCAGCTATGCTGATTGAGGCATTCTGTCAACATCACATTCTGCACATTCCAGCGTGGGAAGCAGATCCCTCTTACAAAATCATAACTTTTTGAGCATGCTCAAAAATTACAGAACTGTATGTATTCTCTTTATTTGCTTCTAACTCTCGATCTTTTTGGTTTTTCGCGAGAAAGTTACTGCACTAGTAATGCGCAAAATTTTCTATTTGAAATGAAAATACTTCTAGAATTTTTCGATTCAGCCTGAAAAATGCCGATTTTGACTAATTTCCTTGAATTGCTTCTAGCCATAGGTGCGATAGTGTGTGAAATCGCTCACCCCCTCTTCACCCCTGAAACGGGACCAAGGTGACTCCCTTCACCAAAAGCCGAGGAAAAAAATGATTAGTGAGGTAAGGTTTGGCAAAGGAGATATTTGTAAGGGAATTGTTTGTGTATCGCAAAGGGGGAAGAAAAGCTATAGGCATTCACGAACTTTCAGGAGAAAAAAATAGTAGCTTCTGTAGCTGCACAGCAACGTCACCGAAAAAAGTTCCATGGTGCAATGTTTCCTTCTGATTCCAGGGAAAATAAATAGTTTGCCCTGAGTCCTTCCATAGAAGAACTTAGTGAAAGGTGTGCGTAGTGATTTCTGGACATTTACTAGTCTTCAACATAAAAAAATAATAAGCTTTGTGGGCGAATAGCTTTTGCAAGGAAATAGTGGCATTCGAAACCGCCTCGTCCTCCGCTTTAAGAAATTATAAAGCATGTCCAAGATCCGTCCAAGAAAGTGCCTGGATGAAGAATGTGCCTGGTGATTTCTGAAGATTTTCGAGTTTTTAACATAGAAAAATTCATAACTTTTGTTTATGAATGCCTAGATGGTCACCTTATAAACCGCCTAGTCCTCCACCTTCAAAAAATGTATAGCTTGCTTGGATGCGTTGAAAAATGCCGGGTAGAGAGTGGATGAGACTCTTATAATGGGAGTTCTCAGGTGGAGGCTTTTTTACCATTGTAAAAGAACATCCACTTGGGAACTTCATTATAAGAGTACCACCCAACCTTCACCCGGCATTTTTTTTCAATGGCTTCCAAGCAGGCTATATTCTCTGAAGGCGGAGGACGAGGCGGTTCCAATGGTGACCATCTAGGCATAAAGATGTTCATCAACAAAAGTTATGAATTTTATGTGTTAAAAACTCGAAAATCTTCAGAAATCACTAGACACACTCTTTTATGCCCATCTACATACCAATTTTGGTACCATTTCATTTCACTTTGCTATAAACAAACTTTTTGTTTGTTTGAAAAAGCATGCCGCCGGGATGCCGGTTCGCGTGCCGGCGGCACGCGAACCGAGAAAACAATATTTCCTTTGCTTTTTCTCCCAAAAATGATATCCAGCTTGCTTGTTAAGCCAACTGTGCCGTGCCCCCTGTTCGTTACTACGACCAGGGGCAGCTTTCTTGCCTTGTTTGCACGGTACAGCTACGCTTAAACAATAGAGATTTACTCTTGCAGCTGCACAGCTTATCTGTAAGCATTTACACCATGACTACAACAGTAAGGGCATACAAAGGATTAGTGACAAAAAAGGATGATGCGGATGAGGATGATGAAGGAAAAGGATGATGTAATGCTGCGCGCTGGATACAGTACGTGTCAATCCGAAGAATTCGAATATCATCGCGTTTGTTCAATGCTTCCTTAGCGTTTTTTGTTTTGCTTTGTTCCGTTCCTTTTCATGTGTTTTTACTTCCAATATCTTATGGCTTATAGTGAATCAAAGGGAACCAGGGTCAAGCGTGCTGATGCGATCCGGGACCCTCATTTACGACCCCCCTCCCCCTAAAGGTATCCATCCGTACGACCCCCTTCCTCCACCTACCCCCCCCCCCCCCCTCCCCCACTTACCTCCCCTCCCTCCTCCACTTCCTTTTGCGGTAACCTGCATAAACGAGTGTCAACCTCAAGAGAGGCCTGCCAATGAACCTCAATAAAAATTACTGGTCAGAGAAAGATGACTACTTACAAATTGGGAGATAATGTAACTCATACAAATAATCCTACGTAGATTGGGTAAGTGGTAAAATTTCACAAATTGGCTATGCTTATTGTGTTTGAAAAAATATGAATTGAAAGGACATCATCTGACAAAGCAGAACATCGATTTCGATTTGTATGGTATTTAAGCCGTTCTCTACCTATAAAAAAGTTAACAGACTTTTCTGCTGTTTATGAATGTTCGGCATGATCCTTTCATGGTCCAGTGGTACCGAAAGTTATAGACTTGGTACCGAAAGATATATACTAGGGTACTGGAATTAGAACGTTTTAGACTTTAATGACGGTCCCGTCTTCTATCACCGTACGCGACACCATTTTTTGCAAAGAGAAAAAGCGATATCTTTAAAACGTAAGAACTGTTTTCAAACTAAAAGCTTATTTTTTATCTTTTGAACATATTTTCCTGTGAAAAAAACCGTTTTAGCGTTATCCAGAACGATGTCAAAAACGTGCATGAGCACTTCAGTTTGGAAATTCGTAATTAAGGTCAGAAAAAGATTAAGAGGCTTCAATGAACAGGTTTTGTAGTATAGTGCCCAGCCAACTGAAGGTAAAAGTTGCAACCACACGGGAGCAGTAAGCTCGGAAAAGTTTAGATGCGACTCTAGCAAATTTAGATGCGATCCTAGCAGCCAGAAATTGGGATTTTTAAGCTCATAATTCCTTAAACAGCAAAATTGCAGCGAGCAAGCCTCCATAGCAACGAAAAAATTTAGATGCGACCCAAATACCCCCTTTTTTCATTTTTTGGTAGAGATGATCGCTTTTTGTCGAGAGCGTGAGACTTCAGTAATGCTATGAAACCAGTGGCCGTATTCATCAACGAACCCTCAAGGTTAAAATCTACCTCATCTAGCATTTAGGCTTATAACCCGTATTCACAAAATGATCGCAATGATATTTTCTCATGGGTTAATCTACCTTGAGGTAGAAATGAACCTTAGAACGCATGAACTCGTACTCATTATTTTACCCTGAGGTTAAAATTTACCTCAGTCATCATTTCTCCATCAACTTTTTATTATGCGTTCAAGGTAAATTTTAAACCTAGGATAGCTAGAGTTAAAATCTACCTTGACTTTGCACATAAGAATTGAACTTTTTCTAAGGATTTATTATGCGTTCAAGGTAAATTTTAAACCTAGGATAGCTAGGGTCAAAATCTACCTTGACTTTGCACATAAGAATTGAACTCTTTCTAAGGACCTTTTCAACTCTTACGCAACCGTTTTCAAAGACAAACATATCTATATCTATAGTGAGTTTCAATTCAATTTAAACGGAAAATTAACTGGCGGGGTCCGCTTCGCAAGAACTCGCGCCACTTGCAGTCTGCATCTTTTCATTCTAATCTGTCTCGCTGAGCCGGTGGCGTTGCAGACACACTGCTCCACTTGAATGTTTCGTCTACTCCGGGTTGAAAGAGACTGTAAAACTAGCTCAAATTTTACTTGTTTACTTAGTCTCATTCCTTATCCCTAATTATGGTTTTCAAGGCTCTAAGGGTCATTTAATGACCATTAATAGGCGAAGCGTCGAACCATTCTGACAGATACGCATCGATGATTTGAACTTCAACTGTGCTCCTTTTTTCGGAGAAATGCTTGTGCCCGTCAATACAGCCAAGCTTCACTAATGAGAATCATGCTGTTTGACCTTCTAAGCTCAATGTTTGGTTCCTTCTCAAGCGTTCAGTAAGCGATCTTCCAGAACTTTACCGACGAACGAAGGGTGGTTCCTGCGTGTAGCAGGTTTCTTGTGGTTGAAAGCATAGAATCCTGCTTTCAGGACTTTAAAGGCAGTTTCCGGGCAAAAAGTCGATTTTGAGATTTTGTGCTTACCCGGGCCTATTCGCCATGCTGAATCCGAAAATCCACACTGGAGAGCGTGAAAACGGCGAAAAAGGGCTCTAACGCAGGAGGGAAATCAAAAGTGGGCGGGGTCTTCCCCACTGTGAATTTCGCGGTCCCAGCTTCTGAAGCGATTTTCTCGATTCCGCTAGCGCCCTGAGATCTCCACAGGCCAGGTGCAAATGCATGATCTGAAATTGGGACTGAGAAGATCGCTCGGGAAGCTTGGAGCGTGAATCTGCAGTGGGGAAGACCCCGCCCACTTCTGATTTGCCTCCTGCGTTAGAGTTCTTTTTTCGCCGTTTTCGCGCTTTCTGATGTGGATTTTCGGATACAGCATAGTGAATAGGATGGGGTAAGCACAAAATCTCAAAATCGACTTTTTGCTCGGACACTGCCTTTAAGGAGATGTTTGGTCGGGTAGTTTCTAAATTGCTTTTGCCCATTTCAGGCTTTGAAGTAGGCGAATGATTGCTGAAACGTAGACAATCATCGCCAATTTCAGCCGTAGTTAGAACGGAATCGATACAGTACCCAACAAATAATAAAGTTTGTTAAAGGCAGTGGCTCGGCAAATCCTCGACCTGTGGTTTTTTTTGCTTATCTGGGGTAAATTTTGAGATGTTTGGTTTTGCCGAGCCACTGGCCCGTAGTAATTCTCGGTCATGGGAGATTATCTCCCCTGAGACCTTCATGTGAGGTTCTGTCAGTAAAATGACGACCGTTCAGTTCCCTATGCTATAGGGATGCAACGTCACCTGAGAGGTGAGCCTCAGGTGAAGTTCGGCAGGGAGATGATCTCCCTGCCGGGTCATGGGAGATGATATGAGCGATGATGTCCAGAAATAGTGTGCTAAAGAAAAAACGCAGAGAAAATTTTCGTAAGTTGCTCCTGAGTAACTTACGATACACAGCAATTTGCCTAACACTGCGGACAAAATCAGCGCAAAATTGCACAACCGCGCCCGAAAAGGAGAGGATCGATGAACAGCTGATTTTGGCGAGGAAGACAGAAAAAAACAAATTCTTCTCT